CCTTCAAAGCATACCTGTAAATCTCCTACAAACAGCCCAAAGTACTATAACTACAGTCAAAATTAAACTGGTAAAATCAAATTAAATTAGTTACCACAATGGTAACTAGTGCTTGATTTACCTTGTTGATATCCAAGTTCATAAACTCAGATAAACTTTGTTCTTTGCAAGAAACAAGAATTGATTTTTCTCCATTACTGTTGAACGGTATAACATTTCACATCAATAGGATACAAATACACCCAGATAAACTTCACCTAAGTGACACTGAGTCCAAACATTTCATGGATGACTGGCCCAGTGTGAAGTGGGTGAAGCACAGTTCTCTCTTAAGAGTGCACCCATGAGTCATGAAAACTAAAGGATGAGAGAGAAATGCCAGAGATGTCTATCATCACTCCCAGAAGCGACTGGAGTCAACGGCACAGTCAGCTCATCATTCCAGGTCATGACTTCTGGCTGGGTCGTATTACTGTTTGCGTCTAAGAATATGTCAACACTCGACACACCTAAGAGACTTCCACTGCGAGGTCAAGTGGGCATTAAACTCGCAGATACAACAAAAAGCCGTGTATGCAAACACCACCACTACAAGACTGCCCTAGAGAGACTGGGACAAGTGTTTCCTGGTTGGGGGATGGGTGTGCATGCCTCCATGTTTGCATAAGAAAAAAAAAGAGAAAAAGATGGAGTATGCAACAGCTGTCCAGACAAGGACAGATGGGAGGGGTGGTGCAGTCAGCTGGGGGAAGGAGGAGGGGAAAAGTTGCCAATAACAGGACATGCTTGCTGCATCGTCTCTATTTGATTAAAGAGCCGTTACACATGGGCTCAATCTTGTAATGGCTCCCAGCAGCTGACTGGGTGACCGTGGTCCTCAGCCAGCTGGTATGAATCAAACGAAACCAGAACCGCTCGCATATGTGTGTGTGAGTTTCCCTGCATAGCTCTAGACTTCCCACATTCACGTGCCAAAAATTCCTTCCGTCCTTGCTGAGGGATGTGTGGGAATAGCAGGCATTTCTCAGGGCTGAGACAGCGGACAGGAATAGTGCATCCATGATACAGACTCCCCGACCTCCTCATGAAAACTACTGCCTGGTTACAGGCGGAGCTGTCTTCATGAGTACTGCTCTGTTTCAACCTGGGGAAACATCTGAGATCGATTAATATTATTCTGACTGTTAAAATTGATTCCGCTTGACATGGAACTGTTTTGCATTTCCCATGGATGACTTTAAGGTATTTCCTGTCCTCTAGAGCCAAATCTGCAGTGGGAAGCACTGTATTATTACAG